AGAAATGAGAGAAGCAACAAACTGGAGGTGTTGCTGGTGTTTGGTGGTCAGCTAAAGTGAAACCAGAACACTGATGAGTGCCTGAGAGAAATCTCATATTTACACCCTCAAATTGAGGTGAGGAAAAGAGAATGAAAGCTTAGAGGTAAACACATGCTTTTTGTAACATATGATTATATGCAAAATAAATTGTACAAATAATTATGAGAGGCTGTCTGGGCAGTGGCAGGGGTAGATGTCGACCTGGCCATGGTCAAGAGGGAGAGAGATCTCTCCAGAGCCCTTCTGGGCACAGTTCACCATAAGCACAGCAGGTCTGGGAAGAGGGAGAGGCGAATGAGGCATCTCTCTCAGGGCCACGCTCTTGATGCCTCACTTGCCTCACCTTAGTCCCAGCCCCAAAGCACACACACCACCCACTTTGATAAAGAACGCTCATATTTTTGACTCAAAGCTTCCACGCAGAGTAAAGGTGGCTGATTTTCATTCTAAGCCTAACTTTTTACTACAGAGAAAAATACGTGAGCCATACTCCACCCTGAAAGCCTAACATAGGTGTCTCTACATTTCTGACAAAGAACTCGGTGAACTGACTCGCTCTCCAGACAGCCAGAGCCGCGGCTGAACCTGGCCATGAGCTTCTGCCTTTTAACCAAGCCAGTATATAATAGTATCATTTATTATCCTGTTATAGAAATGTAATATTTTTTAAAGGGAGGAGGCAGAGAATGTCCTCCACACATTTGAAGAATATATAAAAAGCCCCCAAACTTCCAGAATATGTTAAGGCTGCAACTATCAGAGGGCCAAAAAAAAAAAAAAAGAGAAAGAAAGAAAAAAAGTCAGCTTAAATTTAAGAGACCGTTTAAATTCCTAGTTGATGGTAATTAGAGAGCAAGCAGTATTTCTTTAAATGGCTGCTAGACAGAGCTTAATCCAATTTAGATAATCACTAACCTTCACTCTTTTTTTTTTCTTCCTCTTTCTCTCTCTCTCTCTCTCTCTCTCTCTCTCTCTCTCATACCTCTAAATGAAATCCAAGGATTGATCTACAAAGGCCATAAACTGGCAAAACGTAAGAAAAGAATAAAGAGAGAGATTGGGCGACTGTTACCTCAAAGCGCCAAGTCCAATTAAAATGGAAACGGGTCTCACGGACTCCCTAATTTATATCGACTGTAACCTGGGGTTTCTAACAAGGCCTCTTCACAACAGAAGCCAGGCCAAGGGAGGTGGTAGCACTTCCTCCCCCCATTTTCCCCTCTCAGCACCTTGTCAGGCAGGCTAATCACCAGGTCTTGCCGAGCAATGTGACAGCCATCCCCAGCCAGACCAATGCCAGTAATTCTTAAATTCACAATACCTTCTGGGCCTCTCTCCTTCTTCCATGGGATAACTACTGTCAGAATTATCCAGACTGTCCCTTTAGTTCCTCCATTGTTCATCCAACTCCTGTGCCCTCATTTTAGTGCTACCACACTGCTCTGATCCAGAAACTTCCAGAAACTTCCACGTGAACAAGTAGGACCTTCTTGAGTACTTGGGACCCTGGGTTCTTCATGGAAGGCCTTCAAGGGTAGATATCAAAATGAACTAGAAAGAACAAGGGGCTTTAGTTAATAGCTGTGTGACATCAGGAAAGTAATTAACCTCTCTGAGCCTTCATTTTCACATCTTAAAATAGAGAAAAGAATAGCTACCTGCACAGTTGTTGGGAGGTTCAAATAACATTACTGTGGCTGGACCTGGCTCACAGTTATTGCCCAGTAAATAAGTTGGCTCGTTTAACTGTACAAGTTTCAAGGTAAACCTTGCCTTGGATCTTCAGCCCCTGACAAAAGCGTAAATAACTCAAGTTCACCTCTGATGCCCCATTACTGCTTTGTATCATCTATGCTCCCAACCTCCTTCTTAGCTCCAAAGGGGAATCTTCCCTTGTAAAACAGTACCTTCTGCTTAACAGGGTACCACTGTCTCTGTTCCAAAATTACTAACCTCATACCCCACACAAAGCCCACAAAATACTTTATTCCCAACTTTCAGCAACTGAAATATCAATTCCCACTGACTTGTTCACAAATGATACTTTCTATAAGCATTGCTTTCGGCAAGCATTTACATTTTGCACATACAGAGGCAACTCTAGGGAATAAACTTTCAATGATGAACGCTAAACACAGTAGGGATCTTTCATAGGGCCTCACACTCTATTTCTCAAATCAATTCTGTATTGGTCTAGCTCTGCAAGAAAAGATGAACATGAAAAAGGCTACAATTCAAGAAAGATTTCAGTCTACTTTACCTTGTACAAGGGCAATACAAAAGGAATGACCACAGCGGATTATGCACATGCACACCTACAAATTCCCTAAGACAGAGAAATCATTAAGAAATCCACAAAGCCCTTACTGATTTCAATTTTCTACAGATGAATGGTCTAAATGTTGCACATAGATTGTGCATGAATGAATTGAAGATTATGACATTAGCTCTGGATTTCCAGCATGAAATTTTCAGATAGCAGTGTGATAGTTTTCTAAAGACAAGACTGGGATTATTTTTTTCAGTTATTGAGCCACTCTGCGATATTATGTGACATTTAAAGAAAAAAGCCACCAAGTTAATCAACTATAAGATGACCTAATTAATAACTGAGGCCCTGAAAGGAAAGACATCTCCAGAACAGGCTGGCACTACAAGGCTGGAGTAACGGATCTGGAGCCCATTCTCAGCTCCACCCCTGTGTGTGTTGCTTTGGACAAATTACTTAAGTTCTCTAAGCCTCAGTGGGCTTATCTATGTAATGGGGATATGATAGTACCTATTTCATCATTGTTTTGGTGCAGATTATATAATATTATCAGAGTCTGTTAGTACAAAGTTTAAGACATATTAAGGCCACGATAGGCACTTGCCCCCTTTTTTAAAATAAAGGGAACATTTTTGTAATGTTCAAACACAGACCATTACTGAAATTTCACCCATTGAAATAAATACACATCCATGACCCTCTGGATCTGAAAGAAACGAGGTCTCCTCGAGAAATAATTTTGTCTAAACTAAGCTCTTGAGAAAGAACCCAGTCAAACAAGCCTATTTCTAACGCCTTTCTTTTTTACACTACTAATGGTTCTGGCTGTCAGAAGCTTCAGTAAAATACTGAAAGGACAATAGTTGGAGCTGAAAAAACCAAAGACAACTTTGTGGACTGACCAAGCATTGTTTCCCTTATCTGCTACATTCTACAAAAACACTCTGAACAGCACCCTCGGTCAGATTCTTGGGCTGAATGCAACCAGAGAAGACAGGCCAGCCAGGTTCCACAGAGAGGAGGGCTGCACTTTCCTCAGTCGTACTAGGAACCTCATCAGGGGCTAAATTTAAAATGTGGCTAAATTAGTTTCTGCAAGTTCCACCTCTCCTCCTGACCTGCTTGCTGCTTCATGTTGTAACAGCGCCTTCCAGCCAGAGAGCAATTTACCAGAGCGCAGCACTGTGAAATATTGCAGCATGTAGGCCAGTGAAATGTCATGACTGCACCCACGGTGGTCACTAAAGGGAAGTAAAAAGGGTAGTCTCTGAGGCTTGATCAGCGAGCACCCTTTGATGGGGGGGGGGGGCAGGGGATGGAGACAATCTGGAGTTGGCGTCCTTGACTGCTTTGGTCCTTTGCAATGGGTCATTTGGATTTGCACGTATCGTCTGGGCAACAGGTCCAGAACTCTGCCCCAGCAGGGATGCCCGCAGACTCCGGCCCAGAACGATTTCCAAGCGAGTCTCCGGAGCAGACCTGCCGCTGAGCCGCCTCGCGTGAGCCTTCCGTCTTGTGGGGTGCATCGCAGTAATTGAAACCTTGCACTCCGCAGACTGTAGCGCGTCTATAAATACTCACCGCCTTACTGCTGACAAACAAAACGCGGGCTCCCGGCACCGCGGGGGAAGAGGCGGTGGCATGTGACCAACGGCAGGTGGGTAGAAGAAGGGGAAAACCCTGTTGCCAACCACAGAGGCACCCCACAGCCGATTCCTGAAGCACGGTTTGCAAGTAACACAACCTGCTCTGCCCTCGGACGGCCGCCCCTCAGAAAAGGGGCGGAAGGCTGGGGACAAGAGGGTGCGGGCTGCAGGGGCGGAGGCTCCAGGGCGCCCCCTGTGCGCGCAAGGAGCTCTGCGCACGCACAGTAGGCGCACAGGGGAAAGCCTCTCCAAAGGGAGGTCTGGCGGGAAAGGTGAAGCAGAAAGGGGATGCCGCCGGCGAGGAGAGCCGCCCGCCCCGCCGGGTCTCCGCAAGCTGCGCCCGGGCCCGCCCCAGTCGGCAGAGCGCGCAGGTCCAGCGGCGCTCGGGACAAAGCGGCTCACTTCTCTGGCCTCCCCTCCCACGCCTCTCTCCGGAAAAGGGGGAAATGGCAGGAAAAGATGGGGTGTTTCGGGGCGCAGAATCGCCCGCGCCCGAGTAGGGGCAGCTCTTTAGATCTGCCCCTCAGGCCAAAGAGGAGAACGAGGAAGACCGACAAGCAAACTTTCTTTTTCGATCTCCTGGCACAGCCTGGGTCCCAGGATCGGCGGCGTCCCGCGTTCCACCCCCACAGCGATCCCTCGCCCACCCTAAGGTGCGGACGCTGGGCGCGTTTCCCGCCCCCCCCCGCGCCCCCCAGTGCGGACGCTGGGCGCGTTTCCCGCCCCCCCCCGCGCCCCCCACGGTGGTCGCGAGCCCCTTCCTCTATACCCTCCTGCAGCGTCCGATCGGAGGATCCTTAACCACGCGGGGGCCCCCACCCGGTTGCCCCCAAATGTAACGCTTTCCCCAAGGCCCCTCCCCGTGCCCCGCCGGATTGTGCCCGGTGTGCCCGGCGATTTTGTTCTCGATCCCGTGCCACTGCTGAGCCAGACTCCAGCCCCTCCCGAGTCACCTCGAGTCACGCACACCCGCAGCTCGCCTCCGCCCCAGACTCCGCGCGCCCAGGGAAAAGTTTCCGGTCTTCCCGAGAAAGTTTTCTCACCCGAGAGCAGTGAGCGACCGGGATGGCTCTCGCCGCCGCGCTCTGCTCAGCCGCCTTCTCTCCCGGCTCTGCCCTCCGTGGGGTCCGGTCCAGACTCAAGTCCTCTCCCGCGCGAGTCCACAATCGCGGCGGCAGCGGAGCTCCCGGAGCCGAGCTGGTGACACGTTTCCCTCCTCTCTCATCTTACGACCTCCTCCTCCCCCCTCCTTCCTCCTCCTCCCACTTTTCCTGTCCTGTGTTCATCGCTTCAGTTTCTCTCCAACAGCCCCCATCCCAGCCCCACCTCACCCCCTCCCACTTCTCCCCAGCAGCAACCCTCACCTTGCTAGGGAGGGGGGCAGGGGAAAGGGGGCGCCTGCGCTTAGATCCAGTTCAACAATTTCAGGAAATCCAGCGCTTTAACTTGAAAAGCTGGGGAGGATGCAACAGGTCATGGGAGCTTGGCTCTGCGTTCCCCTCGCACAAGACGAGACCCCCACCTACCTCCACCCCTACGAAGAGAAACTCTACCGAGAAGCCGAGGGAGTGATCCAGGGCGCACTAGAGGACTTGAGCCTGGGGCTTTTGTCGTTGCTTTAAGGAGCAGTCCTGAGGCTTATTCCAGGAGAAGTTGTTTTAAGTGCATCAATGAAAATATAATTCCAGTGAAGTCTCTCCCTTAGATTTGCAAAACTCTCTTAAAATTCCCCAATTCTCTTTCCAATGGAAGGTTTAGTGAATTGGAGTGTCCTTCCGAGTTTGAAACAGCAGAAAACCAACCAATCCCCAAATTAAAAACAAAGAAAAATTATTTTCAAAACTTTTTTTTATTTTTGCAGGTGTTAAGAATTTGATGCAGCTGTTTTCAGGACTCACTGGCTTGCATAATTTCACCCTATGGCTGAGGAGGAAATACTTTACAAATGCTGCCCGTTCACACATCACACTTAGGCTTTGAAACCACAGTGACATTTGCTGAAAAAAGATGTCTTTTTATGTCAAAACTGAGAAAAAAAATTCATGTTTATTTTGATCACTGTGACCTTACCAAACTGATGTAAGGGTGCCTGGTCAGAGTGTGCCCAAGGAGGGTTTCGTGAAGCTCTGGGTGCCCCCCTCCCTTGTCCAGTGATATCAGATAAAGCTAAAGTATTCTCAACAAACCCCAGGATGATAAAGAGACTTTAAACCTCATCCCAAGAATCACAGACAGTGAAAGGCACTGGACAAAGCACGTGCCTGGGAAAGAAACGCTTGAGAGGGCAGTGGTCAACGAGGAGACTTGGGAGATGCGTTGAAAAGCAGCTGTGTTGAGCATTTGAGAGCCAAAGCCTGGAGCCAGAAGGTCAAGGTTAGTCGACCACCATCTCTTACTAGTTGCATGATATTAGCCAAATTACTTAACCGCTACCCCTTAGTGTACTCCTATGAAAATGGGGATAAAAGTAGTAGCTAGCTCAGGGTTGTTATGAGGATTTAATGAACTTCATACAGAGAAAGTGCTTAGAATCTCTGCTGGGATTTAACAGATATGAAGCTATTATTATTACTAATATTATCCTGCAGGTCTGGGAAGTGGAAAGGGAGTCGTTCAATGAGGCCTACCCTATTCAGTCTATTTAAAATTGTAGCTCACTCCTCCCTCCCAATCCCCTTCATTCAACTCTACTCTTGCTTTTTTCCACTGTATCTATCACCTTGTAACATTTTATGTGATTTACTTTTTAAAAAAATTTATTGTCTCTCCCACCACCTCTTGCTTCTGCGCTAGAACATCAGCTCTACAAGAACATGGATTTGCTCTGATATTATTCAAGATCCTAGGAGAGTTCCTGGCATATAGTATCTCCCCAGTAAATATCGTATGAAAGAATACGTGAATAGATTTCATTTAGCAAACTTATGCTATGCTGACTGCATGTGGTGGGTTGGGCTCTGTGCAATAAGAAAAAACTTAATCACCAGGCTACCCAAGGATAAAAGTGGCTCCCTTTACACTCCCTGTAAAGAGAAGTATTCACAATATAGGCGATGCCAGCTTGGTGGGGACGCCATAAAAGAACATTCAAAGATTGGAAGGGAGGTTTAAAGAGGTTAAACTCTCTTCTAACCCTAAGGGTTTTGATAATTTTGGGAACAGAATTTTCTTAAAATAAGAAGGAGCCAACATTTTGGTGCAAATCAGAGCTTTGCTCTAAGGACCCTTAATACCAATATATTATACTTGTCACCACCCACGTTTTTACCAAAATTCTAACTAAATATCAGTGGAACATTGCTTTTTCTTATTAAGAAATAGAATTTTGTTAGAAGAAACCAATACAGATCATGCTACTTAAATATTCATTTATGGAGGAGGAAATTCTAGTTCTTTATTAGATATATCAGTCACACAGCTTACCATGGCTACAGCCTCTGAAATGGAAGTTGGCCCAATCAAGGTTCCTGC